GGAACCCTCTTACACCGTTGGTGAGAATGCAAGCTGGTGCAACCACTCTGGAAAACAGTATGGAGGTTCCTCAAAATGTTGAAAACAGAGATATCCTACAACCCAGCAATTGCACTACTAGATATGTACTCCAAAGATACAAATGTAGTGATCTGAAGGGGCACCTGCACCCCAATGTTTATAGCAGCAATATCCACAATAGCCAAATTATGGAAAGAGCCCAGATGTCCACTGACAGATGAATGGATAAAGAAGATGTATGTGTATACACACACACACACACACACACACAATGGAATACTACTCAGCCATCAAAAAAATGAAATCTTGCTATTTGCAACAATGTGGATAGAACTGGAGGGTATTATGCTAAGCAAAATAAGTCAATCAGAGAAAGAATTATCATATGATCTCACTCATATGTGGAATTTAAGAAACAAAACAAAGGATCATAGGGGAAGAGAGGAAAAAATAAAACGAAGAAATCAGAGACGGAGACAAACCATAAGAGACTCTTAATCATAGGAAACAAACTGAGGGTTGCTGAGGGGAGGGGGGTGGGGGAATAGGGTAACTGGGTGATAGACATTAAGGAGGGCATGTGATGTAATGAGCACTGGTATTATATAAGACTGATGAATCACTGAACTCTACCTCTGAAACTAATAATACATTATATGTTAATTAATTGAATTAAATTTTTAAAAAGGAAAAGGAAGAAAAAGAACAGTAAAAGTGATAACACGGATAGGAAAGTTTAAAATCAGAAGTGTGATACCTCTGGTTTTGTTCTTTTTTTCTCAGGACTACTTTGGCTAATGCGGTCTTTTGTGATTCCATACAAATTTAAGGGTTGTTTCTTCTACTTCTGTGAAGAATGCCTTTGGTATTTTGATGGAGAAAGCATTGAATCTGTAGATGGCTTTTGGGTGGTACAGCCATTTTAACAATATGTAAAATCTTCCAATCCGTGAACACAGGATGTCATTCCATTTGTTTGTGTCTTCAATTTCTTTGAGCAAAGTCTTAACAGTTTTCATTGTAGAGACCTTTCACTTCTTTGGTAAAATTTATTCCTAAGTATTTTATGATTTTTGTGAATGGGATAGTTTTCTTTACTTCTTTTTCCAATATTTCATGATTTGTTAGTTGATTTTTAACCTTCCACTTTACTGAAATCATTGATTAATCCCAACAGTTTTTTGATTGGCTCTTTAAAGTTTTCTATATATAGGATCATAACATCAGCAAGCCATAGTCATAAAAACAGTATGATACTAGCACAAAAATAGACACAGAGACCAATGAAACAGAATAAAGAGCCCAGAATTAAAACCCGGTATATACAGTCAACTAATATTGGACAAGAGAGCCAAGAACACCTAATGGGTAAAAGATATTCTCTTCAAACGGTGCTGGGAAAACCAGAAGAATACATGCACAACAATAAAATTGGACCCCTAACATTTGTTCTGCAAAAGTACTTTTAAGTGAATGGGAGAAAATATTTGCAAATCACCTGACAAATGGCTTCTATTCAGAATATATAAACAACTCTCAAAATTCAGCTACAAGAAAACAAGCAATCCAATTAAAAAGTGGGCAAAAGATATGAACAGATAATTTACCCAAGAATATATACAGATGGCAAAAAGCATATGAAAAAAACATTCAACATTATTATTCATTAGGGAAAATGGAAATTAAAACCACAACCACTCCTTGCCTACTAGACTATCTAAAAAGGAAAAAAAATTATGAAACCACATGCTGGCACAGATGCAGAGCAATTAGAACTCCCTCACATTGCTAGTGGAAACTCAAAATGGTACAGCCACTGGGGAAAACAATTTCATAGTTTTCATCATATAACCATTTATATAACATATAAATATGTACTTACCATATAACCCAGAAATCACAATCCTCTAAGTATTTACCCAAGAGAAACAAAAACTTATGATCACACAAAAACCTATCCACAACAGGTTCTTTAGTCATAATTGCTAGAAAATAAAAACAACTCAAAGGCCCATCAGCAAGTATAAACAAACAGTGGTACAGCCATACAATGGAATATAACTCAGCAGTAAAAAGGAATGAACTACTGATATATGCAACAACATGAATAATTTCCAAACATATTTTGCTGAGTGAAAAAAAGTCAGACCCAAAAGGCTACGTACTGTATGACTCCATTTATATGACATCCTGGAAAAGGCAAAACTTTAGGTATACCCAACAAACCTGTGGTTCTTATATATGGTCAGTTGTTTTTGTTTTATTTTGTCTTCACAAAAGGACCAAGGCTATTCAATGAGGAAAGTAAAGTTATGAACAGTGATGTGGGAAAAATAAATAAATATAGGGGGAAAATGAACCTCAGCTTCTACCTAACATCAAATACAAAAATTAATTTGAGATGGATCATAGACCTTGTCATAAAAGCTAAAACTTTAAAACTTCTAGCAGATGGGGCGCCTGGGTGGCTCAGACATTAAGCATCTGCCTTCGGCTCAGGTCATGGTCCCAGGGTCCTGGAATCGAGCCCCGCATCAGGCTCCCTGCTCCGCGGGAAGCCTGCTTCTCCCTCTCCTACTCCCCTTGCTTGTGTTCCCTCCCTAGCTCTCTCTCTCTGTCAAATAAATAAATAAAATCTTTTAAAAATAAATAAATGAATAAATAAATAAATAAATAAATAAATAAATCTTCTAGCAGAAACAATAGGAGATTATCTGCACAACTTTGGAGTATATACACATTGCTTACCACATAAAAATAAATACTCAAAAGGATTTATAGGTTGGACTTCATCAAAATCTTAAAACTTGTTATCATCAAAAGAATTATTTATATCCAGAATATCTAAAGAACTCTTACAAATCAATAATAAAAACACAAACAATCCCAACTTTTTAATGGGCAAATAACTGAAGAGATATTTCCACAAAAGAAGATATAAGAATAACCAGTAAGAACATGAAAACCGCTAAACATTATTAATCACCAAGAAAATATTAATTAAAACCACAAGGAAATACCTTTTTATTTTATTTTTTTTAAGATTTTATTTATTTATTTGACAGAGAGAGAAATAGCGAGAGCAGGAACACAAGCAGGGGGAGTGGGAGAGGGAGAAGCAGGCTTCCTGCTGATCAGGGAGCCCGATGCAAGGCTCGATCCCAGAACCCTGGGATCATGACCTGAGCCAAAGGCAGACGCTTAATGACTGAGCCACCCAGGCGCCCCTGAAATACCTTTTTAAAACAACTAGAATGGCTAAAATTTTAAAGACTGACAATACCAAATGTTGCAGAGGATGAAGAACAATAGAAACTTTCATATATTGAAAATGATACAACCATTTTGGAAAAAACTTTGATACTTTTTTTTTTACAAACATACACCTATCCTGTGATCTAGCAATTGAACTCTTAACCAAGAGAAATGAAAACTATATGTCAACAAAACACTTCTACAATAGTATTTGTTGCAATTTTATTTACAATAGTGAAAAACTGGAAACAACTGAAATATCCATCAACTCACAATCTATAAAATTGCGGTATAATTATAAAATAGAATACTACTTGACCATAAAAAAGAATGAATTACTGACACACACAACAACATGGGTGAGTACCAAAAAATATTTTGAGTGAAATAAGCCAACCACCAAATACTCCATACTGAATGATTCCATTGAGGGGAAACTCAAGAGCAAGTGAAACTAATCTATGATGATAGGATTGGAACACTGGTTGCCTATGGAATGGAAACTGGAAGAGGGCACAGAAGAACTTTCTGGGGTAATGAAATACTTTAAGTTTTAAGTGGGATATGGTTACATGGGTCTTTGCATTGATCAAAACATCAAGCTGTACACTTAAGATCTGTTCACTTCACTGTATGTCAATGCTACCTCTAAAGAAACTGTAATAAATTGTTTAGGTCTTTTACTCAGTAGTAGAAAAAGCAAACCATATCACAGAGCACCGTACAACACCAAACACATGGCTACTTTTAGACAGTATTAATTCATTCAAATTCACAGAGGAAGGCATAAGTTCACATAGGGCCCTTATGTTTGGGAAAGCAGAATGGTGTTATTTTAAGCAATCTGAAACTGTTTATTGACAAACAAAAATAATATGATTTCTTTCTTTTAATTAAACTTGCCAATATAAGTATGAACCAATATATGTATGGACCAAATAAAGAGGTTAAATACTGAGTCAGGTTCCTAAGTATCTTATCTTGGGAACACATGAACTATTATTAAAGTCAATACCAAAAGAAAGTGTACACTATCATTAAGTTATTCCTGATTGGGCAGGGATGACAGTTAACAATATAAATTATGAGGACAATAATTTGTATAGGAAAAAATACAGCCATGTTAACTACTCATAACTTCTGGTCTCAATCGAATCCAACATAGAAGACATGATACATCCTACAGTCAATTATTTTGCTATGGGGTCTACAACTATAACTCTAGATCTTATACAATGTTAGGAGGTATAACAAATTTCAACCCCAAATGAATTAAAATGATGGTTCACACACGAACCCCTACAATTGGAATAAACTGGATAAAAGAGTATCTACACTAAAACTGATAACATTTTACCAAATCTCTTAACCTTTTGTTTTAAAAATAAATAAAGGAAATACAATTTTAGCATTTAATTGATCAGTGCAGTCTAGGATGTCTTAACCAGAAACCTATCTACTTTCCAACTTAAGTACAAGACAATCCTTAATACACATGCAGGCACACGCATGCGTGCGCACACACACACATGCACGAGCACGCACACACACCCATTTGTGAGTATGTGTGTGTGTTTGCATGATCATATGTATGTGTGCCTAACAAGTTCTATGTGGTTCCCAAAGAGTTCTAAACTGATTTGGCCTTGGTACTAAAGGAAAACACTCGAAATAGCACAAGACTGAGCACCCTATTGCTAAAGCTCTTTGCAGAAGCAGCGTACCTGTGCCCTCCTCTGCACCTCCAAGAGGAGCTCAGAGTACTGCAGCTCCAGTTCCTTCTTTTGTTTGTGCCAGCAGCTCTCCTGGGCTTTGATCTGCTCGGCCACTTTGTTAAAGGTGTCTTCCTGGGTCTGCTGAAGTTCTCTCATCGTATCAGACTTGTTTTTACAGATATACTCCAGGTGACCTATCTAAATGGGGATATGCAACAGAGAATGAGATATGCTCACAAAACATGTCTTTGTAGCACCTCCCCAAATGCCATACATCTACTATGTTTCGTTCCTTAAGTTCACATAAAAGTTTTAAGTTAAAATGAAAACAAAAAAACTAAGAAACAGAAAATGGTAGGACAAATTATCATATTTTAGGAGAAAATGGTGTCATTTGTATGTATGTGTGCTTAGATCACAAATCATTTTTCTCTTTCTAATAAAGTTACTCATTATATAATCAACTTTACTGAGAAAATTAAGAATATTTGTACTTCTAATTTTTTTGTTCTAAAACTAATTACATCATTAGTTTTAGATGTAGTGTTCCATGATTCACTGTTTGTGCATAACACCCAGTGCTCCATGCAGAACGTGCCCTCTTTTTACTTCTAGAACCAAAGCTCAAGCTATTCACATATCTCAATGGGAAATAAAGTATTTCAATGAGATTTATAAATCTACATTTTACATAGAATAAAACAGAAAGTTACAACCATTTTTTATTTCACGTTCAAAACACTGGAAAGAAAATCATCATCTAACGTGTATGACAATTAATGATGTTTTAAAACTATTAAAACATAATACCATCTCAGAGGGTTCAAACATGTACTCATTTTAATTATCAGTAATTTTCAAACCCATTATACACACATTCACAATCAGGAACAGCATCTGTGCTTCTCACGATTTACTCCCTCATTTCCTCAATCCTACTTCTCAGTGCCTAAGGTTGTGTTTGCCAATCAAACCAAGGTAAAATGTTCTCACTGTAAAATTGGGCCAAGATGCTATTTCATTAGTTCAACAGATTGGAGGGGGGGGGAAAAAAACTTAGGTAACAATTTTTTTCTTCATGTCGCATAAGACCAAATGCCATGGCAACTAAGATCTGGAAACCAGACCACATAATACAGTCCTGACCAGTTCAGTAGACCCAGGATGAGAATCAGTATCTTTAACGGTGGAATAGGTTGGTCTGCTAAGCCATTTAAGTCTTCCATAACCAAAAGAGGGCTTGTTGTTTTTGTGGTTTTTATTTTTTTTGAAAAACTAAATTCCTGGGCGGGTGAAGTCCACTGTTTTCTGCTACCATGTATACTTTGAACACGCTACAGCACTGAATGGGGTCCGTTAATACACAGTTGGTTATAATTCAAGAAATACCATTAACATAATTTTAAATTTTTAAGTGCTTTTAAAGTAACACCTCATTATTTCCTGGGCAAAAATTTTAAGATCATGTTTTTGAATAACTGTGTCTTGTTTCTATTTTATGCTACATAAAGAGTTGGTTTATTAATGTAAATGACTAAGTTCTTTGAATTGCTTCATCAGTAAGATTAATTTATTTTCTTTTAATTAGGTCCCTGTGGCTAATACTGGCTAGTAGTATTAGCATGTCCTGCACAGAGTGTGTGGAGCTTAGAGACTTCATACAGACTTCAGTCACATTTACATGCCCACAGCAATGGCATCAAACTGAGTTGTAGACAAGCCATAATTAATGGTATTGAATTATTAACATCCAAATTCTTTTTGAAATAAGATGAATGTCAGCCCCTCTTAATGATACTGTGATGTGGACAAATGTCACTGAATTTAATAGAGGTATCTGGTGCCCGAGGACAGTTACCTTCTCATTAGCCCTGGTGAGGTCTGCGATCAGGGCATCAACATTCTCCTGCAAGACTGCACAAAGCTCGGTCCAAGAGAATTTATCCAGCATGCCTTCTGGTTGTTTCATGAGCACACAGCCTGCTATCAAGTGCTGATACAAGGTATGAAGAAAGGTTAGCTTCTCCTGTGAGAAAAAAAAAAGAAATTAATTCCAGTATATCAACACTGTAAGAAGGAAAACACATGCTACGTGTGGTGAAGGATTTGTTTCAAAAACTTGGAAAGGAATTAAAATACCCAAGTATCATCTTGGGTGACTTTTTTTATACTGTCATCTTGGGTGACTTTTTTTTTACATTCAAAAGCACCAGATAAAAACTTGGAATTGCTTAAACTTGGTATTCAAAACCAAAATCTGCAGTCTAGAAGCCAGAAGACCAGGGTTCTGACCCCAGCTCTGCTCCTCCGAGGATGACCTAAGTGCCTGTTCAGGCATCACCTTTCTCAGCTCTGACATGACTTATCTGCACTAATTGTCTCTAAGCCCTTTTGACTTTTGTCCTGATGTCAGGACAGTAATTCTATAATTTCATATTTACATTCGCCAAAACAGATGTTATTCTAAGTCAGAAAACCAATATAGAGAGAAGAGTGTTACTCAACTCTGTTAAAGACAAAGTTACACCAATATCTGTGCTTTACATGTACACAATTACTCAGCTATCTTCCTCCTCCAGGGACTCCAGTTTGCTTACCACTTACAGGAAATCTATCCCCAGCCCCTTAGGCAAAGCAGACAGTGATATGAAAGATATGGAAGAGGGGCTCATTCGTTTTCCCTGTAAGTTCATATAGTATTTGGCACACTGGGCATTTAGAGGTGCTTAAATATTACAAAGTAACAGGCAAAAAGAAATGGACACAGTTGCCCAAGACATATTTTTGAAACTGTCCAATTAGAAATATGTAATAAGTTTTTTAAAATTATGTTGCCATTGTAGTAACTAAGCCATCCACTGTTTAACAACCCAGAAACACTATGCCATAGAATTCAGTAAAAAGCTGATCCCATCTTGAACACACAGAAAGAGTTTATTTACTGAAATGCCAAATGGCTCTCTTTATAAGGTGTTTCATCTATAAAGTGCCCAAGAGTGGAACTCAAGACGAGGTCAGTGTAAAACTGCAAAAGGATATCTTTTGTAGATAAAATAAGCTCCTTCAAATTTTTTTAATATTTGAGAGAAAACTTTTAAAGGAGAAAATCTGAGAGGGAAAAAATAGAAATGCTAATCTTCTAGATAAGAAAAACTGTATATGGTATATGTAAAGGTTGTATAACTATAAATTGTGGCGAATTTTTCATATATTTATATACATATATGAATGTGTATATCTAATTCTCTCTATATGCTACCTTACCTTTTCCCAAATATAACAAGTTAAAACCAAAAAATTTTAATATGTAGTTACAACCACAAACTTGAGTTAGGATATCAGAAGAATCCTCATAAATACGTTATGCCTTTTTCTTTGCTAAGCAATTAAAGATGTCTTTTACATTTTCAACTGGGTTGAGATATTCACAAATCTTATTAAATATAACTAACCAAATGTAATATTCAGGCACTAAAAGTCTTCGCCCTCCACATTTTGCCAAGTCATCCTAAGGATAATTCATTGTGTCGCCATTATGTCCTTTTTGCTTGGGCTGTGATAAACCATGCATGATAATCATCCATTTGGCGTGAAAAGAGAATCTCAAGATCCAAAATCAATTCACACATGTTGAACCCAACCACAATGCTGTAGACATGCTGACTTTACAATACAGGCAGGCTTCTAGTTTCCTTTCCTTTAATCATTATCTGATGTGTAGAACAATTCCAGCCCCTTCATGTGGACACAATTTAAGTCCCAGACTGTAAGAAGAGTGGAAAGAATGTTTCCTTTTTACTCTCTTGGCATTCATGTTCATATTTGTTGGAGTAATGAACTCAATATGCAGGACGACTCAGATAAACTGGTTCCACACTAGCTAAACTAGCTCTATATCCCACGGGTAAAAGAATATATAAGATAACAATTCCATTCACACAGGCTCATACAGAATAGAAAAGTTTTGTCATAATATTTTAAGAACTCATTTATAAATAAAAATGGATAGGCAACTCTCAAGAGCATCTAAATAAAGTTTCAATATTAGGGACTTGTCTTCTCCTAAATTTTGGTTAATATCCTACAATTATAAAGAGTAAGGAGACTGTCTATTAAAGGAGATGTTACTCCTGTTTTGCAAATCAGAAACTAAGATGTGGACAGACTAAGCTGCATGCCACGTCCATATTCATAGTTTGTAAACAGGAGCACCACAAGTCAAGTCCAGTTCTTTCTGATTACGAAAAACATATTCTTTCCACCATGTTCAGCTACTAAACTACTGAAATAAAAAATAATTTTGTCACCAGCAAATAGGCAAACTTTGAAAGGACTGTTTTAGGAGCCTCAGTGCTTGGGATATGATGTTCTAAATAGAGAGATGAAGCCACAGAAGCGACAGAGGGGTTAAACTCCATTACTTCTCTCCAAAATAGGATGACACAAGAGTAATGGAGTGACCGATTGTGCGGCTGGCATGAATATTTCAAGAGTCGGCTCAGAACAAATCAGAGTAAAAACAGCCACTTGATGTATGTAAATTTAGAAAACTGAGATTAGTGAAGGCCTTTCCTGCCAGGCGTCCTGTCTCAGGTAATACCTCGGTATCCTTCTGGAAAGCCTGGGCAAGCTTCTGCAGTTCACTCTCCGATTGCGCTGCTCGAGCCTTTTCTTTCTCCCAACAGTGCAGCACATTCTGTAGTTCCACTTTCAACGTGCTTATGAGAGCCTCTCTGTCTGCACATTTAGTGCGTAAATGACTTAACTCTCTACTGACATCAGCCAGTTTTTCCTGAAGGTCCTGTCAGAGATGCAAAATAAAGAGACTGCATGAAGGCCGGCCAATAAAGGGATGGAGGATACAAACACAAAATACATAATGAAGACCTCCAAAGCTTTACCATAAAAGAATCACAAGCACAAGCATTTGGCTACAATGCTAAACATTACAGTAATTTATTGAATCAATTTTCTAACTATACCATTTTAGCTCAAAAGTTAGAAAAAACTGTTAAGTTTTAACACTGAAACATAAAATGTTCATAAGATACCTGATTCCTAAAAGCTCTTTGAAAAGGAGTTTTCCTTTCAATTCATTATTAAAAAAAAAAAAAAATAGCTTGGTAGCTCAAAATAATTTTTCATAACATGTAAATAACATTTTCAAATGAAATATTTTACATTTAATATAAGAACATTTACTTCCCAATGACTCCAAATACTAATAGAAATCTCAAGTGTGTGACAAAAATTCTGAACTATTTCTTCTTCAACCTTATTAACAAATTCTACTGAAGTATGTCCATGACAAACTCAACACGAACCAACACACAAAATTTCCAACTCGGAGACTTGCCTCGGTATCATTTTGCAAAGATGTAGTACATAAAACCAGTGCAGAAAATAAAATAAACTCTTGTCTTGGACCTTAGCCAAGTGCAGTCTCAGCCCATTACTAGGCATGATGCTCTAAAAACAATTGCCCCACCCTAAAATGATGAAAACTGACTCCAAATACTGATGTGCTTATGTAAATAAAATATGTTGAATACGTATCTGAGGCTGGGCATTAAATCTTAAATCATTTTTTGAATCTATGGTATTATAATTAGATCTGGGAAATACATCTTTCCTTTAACCAAAATAAGTTCCAACCAAGTTTTATTTTTTTAATGAAAAATACATTCTCGTTACTTTGATCAACAATAAAAAAATCAAAATTGTATCCAAATATACTTAATAAAAAATAGGGAGATACATTTTCAGATATCTCCACTTTAAAGTATTCCCTAGATAATCATATTTGTTTCTTAATACAAAAGGAAAAAGTTATTCTAAGTCATAATACCTTTATATTTTTAGTGTGAGATTCTATCTTCTGTTTGGTAGAATCAAGTTCACTCGATGCCTTTTCCTTGGCATCATTCATGCTGTTTAGCTGATAAAAGAAGATGTAAGTTACTTTTTTTATGTTTTTCAAGGGTGAGTAATTCAAAAGCTAATCTTTAAATGTTTTTTAGGCAATTACTTAAACACCAATGTTCCAATAGTGATTAAGAGTCTTGAAAAAGTCTTTCTTTTGGCTAACTATGTCATTTCTGTCCCAAGTCCACATGTCTAAAAAGGAAAAGCATTCAAGCTTGAAATGTCAGTGATATTACTGTGTTTTTACTAGATGGCTGGATAAAGGATTTCATTCTTATTGTAAACAAACACAACTTTATTCTTAAAATCCTACTGGACCAAAACTCCAAAAGCACTGGCATCTAGAAGGAAAGAAAAAAAGCGCAGAGCAGAAGACTGTTCTTTCTATACATCATGAGGGTATTCGGTGGTCTCTCACTCCATATGACAACTTCAGGGTCGGTCACATGCAGTCCTCCTGGGAAGGCTTGTGGCAGGTCATCAGTTGGTCCTGCTCCGCTTGTGATTTATTTTCTTTGACAGTTCATTCTTCTTTCTGGCAGCCTGCTCTTTTTGCTTTCTTTGCAGCCCCCCCTTGGTCTCCCCACTGCTGTCTCTGGCACTGGTTCACAACAAAGCACATTACTAAGCCAAAGCCTGCTGAGTCGACTTTTCAACTGTGCTAAGGATCATGTGACATTCATCCTCCCAAATAACAATTCGCTGTGGGTAATATGTTCCTAGTTACCCTGCAGCTTCCAGACCTAGGCCTCAGAAGAGTTCCATAAACTACTAACAATACAGGTTGCCTTGTCTCACTAGGAAAGACTTAGCAATATTTGTTCTTTATAGAAATTTAATGATTTCAATGGTCACTTTCTTTTTGCCTTTTGAACAATACAGAGAGTATTAAGAAGACTCACTTTTCCTTCTTTGTTGACCGTGGTAAACTAAAGTGAAATAAACCTCTTCTGAAATGTGAAATACAATGATTCCGTGGCCTTGTATTATTTGAAAGAAACAAACAAACAAAAGGATAGACACTAAATTCTATGCTATGTGGCTTGTCTTTGGTTTGAACAATCTGTTGGTTGTTTTGCTAATTGTATTTCATGTAATTATTTCATACTCTCTAGTTTGACAAGAGCCAACTAAACAAACTCTTCAATTTTTAAAGCATAAATCCATAAAATATTTTAATACCCAAGAAAATTATCAATCCACACATTAAACAATACAAATGAGATGAAAAATAGAAGCAAGAGCTTTTTAATCAGCAAACCAAAAACTACCAAGCTACATCAAACAGATATTTGTTTTTGAAAACTTCTAACAACAGTCCTTTAGAGAATGAGAACTAACCTCTCTCTTGTTTTGTGAAGACTTCCATAATTTGTAGAAATCTTAACCTAAAATCTTGACAAAACCTAAATTTCCACTACCTATTCCTAATTTCCTAAAAACACGTGAACATTTAAATAGAATACATATTGGGCGCCTGGGTGGCTCAGTTGGTTAAGCGACTGCCTTCGGCTCAGGTCATGATCCCAGGGTCCTGGGATCGAGTCCCACATCGGGCTCCCTGCTCGGCGGGAGGCCTGCTTCTCCCTCTCCCACTCCCCCTGCTTGTGTTCCTGCTCTCGCTGTCTGTCTCTGTCAAATAAATAAATAAATAAATAAAATAAAATAAATAGAATACATATTAACTTAGATGACTTGTGTCGTTTTTTGATTAAATTAGAGTAGATAAATTTTGAAGGCCAAGAAGTGACAAGAGTCCTCGTAACTTTGACAATAATAGGATGACTTTAGAGTTACAAAAACGTAAGTGAGACATGACTTTAGGCCACACTTAAAGAAAGAACAGTGACAGACAATTTATTATTTTTTGTATCTGTGAAGCTGTCAATTCAACATTCCCAATCTTTCTGACCTTTGTAACAAGCACGGAACCAAGTGCTGCAGGCTGAAGGCTCTAAGTGTAGAGCCAAACAGTGCAAGTGTTACCTCATTAGATGCATCTTCCAGCTTGTTCTGGTAATCTGTCAAGGTACGCCTCAAAGTCTCAAGGACAACAGAGAAGCTGGGAGGTTTATCTTTGTCCTTGTGGATGCCTAAAGAAAAATGTAAGATGAAAATATATCCTAAAGTCACAAAGAGACAAAAGCTAAGCAAACAGTAACAGAGATATTACAATTGGATAGAGCTGAAAACATGTTATGAAACATTGAGTAGAGTCTTATTCTCCAAAGTATACTGCTGTATAGCCAAGTATTAATAGCCTTTCTAAACAAGTGATCAAATTAAGTTCATAATGTATCAAGTTCAAATTTATGGCTACTTCCTACCTTACCTAGGCCCATACTGTAGTTAGTAGTGAGCTCTTTTTTTTTCCCCCATCTCCTAAATAACTGAAGAATTTGTACACACCTGTTATCCAACAATTAAATGAACAGTCTACATACTAACATTGTTTTGGGAAGTTACATACACTTACTTTGGTCCTTGTGTTTCTGAACAGTCAGGCCTATTTTGCTTAAATAATAATTTCTGAACCCAAGAGCACATAATTTTCTGTTATGCTTGGAAATACTCTTCAATCCTTAAAATTCTCAAGTTACAATTTGAAATAAATAATAAAAATGCTATTATCTACACAGGCCCACATCATGTTTCAATTAAAACCCTTAAAACTGATACTTATTATAAAAATATGAGTATTTCCATATTATGCCCTCAAACTATTTTAATTTAGTTGGGCCATAAGTTAGTTGAGCTAATCAAGGTCACATGGTCAAATGTAGTTCAAAAGATTAATCCAAAATCATCAAAAGTTTAGTTTTAAAAACCACTTTAAATTGATTTTTCACTGTACTTCTCCTTTACTGTTAAAAAACAAGTAGCAAAATCGATGAGGACTGTATATTCCCTGTGTAGGATATATATGCAAGTGTACCGTTTATGTAAATGAATCTTTACAAGTGGTGTTTATCCATGCATTGTGTAACCTTTTCCCGGAAGGTTGCTTTCCCATACAAATAAAAGTGCCTCTGTATGTATGTTTCCTAGAGAAATATATTTTCCATGCCCAGTATGTACATGTAATATAGATATCTGTGCATTTAAAAAAAAAAAAAAACAAGTAGCAAATGTTAAAATACGCTATTAAAAATATTTCTCTTTTCCTATTATAATTTCTCCCCAGCATATTTTACAATCTATTTCAATAGACACGAAACATATTTTTAACAAGGATGATTTCAAAAAGAAGCATTCGTAATATATGTTTTATTATTCATTGACTCATTCATTCAAATACTTTACTGAATTCCTACTACATACTAATCCAAGGCATAGAGGTGAATAAGATTGGTGTAGTCTCTGTCCTCAGAGAATTTACAGTCTAAAAAGAGGAGGAAGAAAAAAAAAAGAAAGAAAGAAAAAAATAATAAAAAGAGGAGGAAAGAGGGGCACCTGGGTGGCTCAGTCAGTTGGGTGTCCAACTCTTGATTTCGGCTCAGGTCATGATCTCTAGGTCATGGGATCGAGCCTCAGCGCAGGGTCTGCTTGTCCCTCTCCCTCTGCTCTCCCCCCACCCCCACCTTGCACATGCTTTTGCTCTATCTCTAAAATAAATAAATAAAATCTTAAAAAAAAAAAAAGAGGAACGATAGTAAACAAATAATTACATGAGATCATTTATCCATTCTTCATGTATTCAACTGCTAGAACTTTGGGAGGATAGGGAAGAAAGCAATAATAAAGGAAAAAACAAAGAAAGAAAGGAAGGCAGGAAGGAAGGAAAAATTTTGGTTAATGATAGACTAATTTTATCTCAGAATATTGGTGATATTTAGTGTTTTAATCTTGGACAAAATGTTACTAATAAATTTACTATACTCATCCAGGTATAATTTAAACACTATCTTAAGTGTGGGTTCACCTCAGATTTTCTTAAACAGAAGAAGAATATTTAACCAAAAAACCAGAAGTAATATGGAAGCAACACATATCCCAGCTAGGCAAAAAGAAAAAAAAAAAAAAAGACACTGCTCTGAGCCATGATAATGGAGGAGACAGTACTCTTTGTAATTACTATGAGTTAGAAAGACAACTCATTAAAAATTTTATTAAAGGTCTTACCAAATACATTTTTTTTAAAAATTGCTCTTGCACAAGATAAAAAAAAATGTAATGTATAATTCTTTTCTTTTGCTACTACACAAGTAGGCCATGAATAAATCATCCAAGGACACTCGGGAAATCTGCTGGCTTTTACAATAAGGGAGAAAGCTTCCTCTTAGAAATTCAGAAGAATAAAACCATTTTAATATGAGTGTTAAAGGGTAAGGGGACAAAATGCCCTGTCCTTACTGACTCATGCGTATTATTATATTCTACATAAAATAAAGTTTCTTTGCTTGAAAATGTTTATACAATAAAGTTTAGTTGAAGTACAAAGTACGCTTTAAGTCTTATCCACATCCATTATAAAAATTCTTATAAATGGAAACATGGAAAAATGCTTATAAATAAGAAGAAAGGGTCACTAGGACTCAGGACCTTATTGATAATTTGATTTAATCTAAAATATCCTAACCCCTGAATATTACAAGAAACAATAACCTATTAATGATCTCAAAGAAAGCTCTAAAAATTCACAGATGAAGAGCAATGAAAATAATTTGAAAAGTGGTCATAAATGGCTTTTCAAAGGTCAAAGTCCAAATGAAGAACAGAATGTGTTAGAACACTTTATATTTCAAAATACCAACTCAAAACCTTCCAACGTTCCCTATACTTAAATGTTTCAGTACCTGGAGGCCAACCTATACTTCCCCATCACTGCTACCTGTTTCAATCTCTCTCACTCACTTTTAATATTAAGTACATTTCAACTCTGGGTTTGCCTTGGCAAATCTTTTTTTTTGGTTTTTGTTTTTGTTTTTTAAGATTTTATTTATTTATTTGACAGAGAGATAGCGAGAGGAGGAACACAAGCAGGGGGAGTGGGGGAGGGAGAAGCAGGCCTCCCATCAAGGAGGGAGCCCAATGTGGGGCTCGATCTTAGGACCCTGGGATCATGACCTGAGCCGAAGGCAGACACTTAACGACTGAGCCACCAGGCACCCCTTTGTTTTTGTTTTTGAGAATTTTCACATTTTATTTTGTATTTGTACTCAACATCGTAACACATTAAATACAAAAATATATGTATGTGTATCCATATCATAACCAGTGAATGTTTTATTATTTATAGTGATATTCTCTTCTGGTATGTATCATGATTTTATTTTTCAGACAATTTAAGCATTATTATCTTTTGTGATTTGAAGCAAATGACCTGAATCTGATTCTGATTAACAATTCTACTCAGATTGTGGTATAATTATTTGGCTAAAAAGGCCAACCTCAACTGGCAGTGCTTCTGACCAGAGAAGGTTTTTGGGGAAGAATGAATTTTCCATCCTGTTTGGGACTAACCAATCTCTCGTCAAGGGTATATCTTTCTTTCATGATCTCATGGTAGATTAGAAACGGCTATGCTAATATAGAACACTCAATTTCTATGTTTCTTAGGTATATACTTACCTAGAACGATTACATAAAGGCAAATCTTTTTTTGAATGAGTAGCCCACGGCAGAGAGGGAGGTAGGAGAAATGGTTCCAAGCCCTCGATTTAAATGTTTTCTTTTAAACAAGCTCAAAAGCTAAATATTTTCATATGACCCAAATAAACCACTGTTTCCCAAGCTGGTTTTCATCAACCTATAGTTCCACAGTAGAAACAGTAAGTTGTGATGAATAAGGTTAAGTCTATCTCTTCAACCTTTCAAACATTCTCTTATCTACTTCAGTTTCCTGCAAGACCCCAAAAGGGGAGAATTATTAAGAAATAATGGAGAGGGCGCCTGGGTGGCTCAGTCAGTTAAGCATCCGCCTTTGGTTCAGGTCATGATCCTGGGGTCCTGGGATCGAGCCCGGCATCGGGCTCCCTGTAGGGAGTCTGCTTCTCCCTCTACCCTTCCCTCCTGCTAGTGATCTCTCTCTCTCTCTCTCTCAAATAAATAAATAAAATCTTTAAAAAAAAGAAAAAAAAAGAGGGGCGCCTGGATGGCTCAGATGGTTAAGCATCTGCCTTCGGCTCAAGTCCTGATCCCAGGGGCCTGGGATTGAGCCCCACGTCGGGCTCCTGGCTCAGCAGGGAGCCTGCTTCTCCCTCTCCCTCTGCCTCTCCCCCTGCTCATGCTCTCTCTCTCTCTGTATCTCTGTGTCTCAAATGAATAAACAAAATCTTAAAAAAAAAAAAAAAAAAGAAAGAAAGAAAGAATGGAGAGACAACAGAAGACAAAAGACTGAGATTTTTTTTTAAGAATACACATGTGTGGGGTGCCTGGGTGGCTCAGTTGGTTAAGCGACTGCCTTTGGCTCAGGTCATGATCCTGGAGTCCCAGGATTGAGTCCCCCATTGGGCTCCCTGCTCAGCAGGGAGTCTGCTTCTCCCTCTGACCTCCTCCCTCTCATGCTCCCTCTCTATCATTCTCTCTCTCTCAATAAATAAATAAAAATCTTTAAAAAAAAAGAATACATATGTGTATGTATGTGTGTATGTATGTATATATACATACATATAGAACATGGGTAGTCATGTTCAACCTCAGAATAGGAAAAAAAAACATGTTGTTTAATGTGGATTTTTAATCACATAGTAAGACACAGAAAATAACATTCAAATGGGTTTTATCTTCACCTAAGAAAATCTAAACATTTAATACATTGATGACCAAGAAAATTCCCTTTTCACTCCAAAAGCATTAAATATAAACATTTTGTTGGCAGTTATGCTTTTCAAACTGAGACTACATTCTGTATATTAATTTGTTTTACTCACTGAGATCATAAACAAACATCTTCCTTATCTTGTAAACACAGGTACCCATTCTGGAGTTTTTAAGGAAAATGACTTCTAACTTTTCTAACATATGGAGAGTATTTATTATGTAAGTCTTGCTCACCTACCCCCTAACTATGTCTCCAGGGAAAGTTAAAAAAAAAAAAAAAGAAAAAGAAAACACTTTCTTTACCAATGTTTGAGAAATGTATTGGTGAGGG